CTTTTGGTTTAATCCCTGGAGCCAACCTATAAAACAGCAGAGGTTTTAAATCAAACATTTAAAAGCCTTAAAGCTGAAAGTTACAGTGACAGCGAAAGGGGGAAAATAATAAAGGATTTATCAACCATATCTAGTATACCAGCAACACTTTCTACAATATATACCCATGACAGATAAACTTATATATGTGCACACACACACACACACACACGTATATATAAAGTTAATCACTGGAAAAAAGGTAATGTGGTTTATCAGATGAATTTTCAATGCTTTACTAAGCAATGGAGTCTCTATTGTAACCATTTTTTTCTTCCTAAATACTTGTTGGTATGTGACATACGAATTCAAGGGCCTAAATATTTATAATTTAACCTAGAGTAAAATGACCAGAGCCATGTTATTTTATTAATTCCACTGGCAGTGAAGTTGCATTACTAGATTTTCTTCTGAGCTTCTTAAGTATTATAAAAGTATCTGTTAGGAAGGAAGGGATTCCCTCACCCTCCCTGTTTGCCTCTCCTATCGCTGCAATAATAACTAGCCAAATAGCTAAATAAACCCAGACCCAAACAAAATCATTCTCTAATTCTTCAGGCAATGTTTCATGAACTTTACCTACCAATGTATCCTAATGGAAGAGAAGACTGAACATGCACCCCTACGGATCTGCTGCAAGTGTGAAATTTCTTTGAAGTTATCTCTTATATTTAAAAAATTCATGTTTATCTTGCATTCTACTCCATAAAGTATATGTTTTAATGTAAAACTTGTGTGTTTTTCCTCAGTATCATTGAGTTACAGGGCTCTAGGAAAATATGCTAAGTTTATACCACAGCTGTGAATCTCCCAGGAACACCATTTCAGGTGCTAAGGTTTACAAAGAATAAAGGCGATTATAAAATAAACTTTTCTCTGGCTACCACATGGTATTCTCCTTTCATTTCTATTTATTTCAAACTGATTTTTCTTCCGTTGTCAGTAATTTTGAGACCTACAATTTTAGTACTGAACTAAAATAAATATGTTATTTTCTATATAAGACAGGAAATATCTTTATCAAAACAGGTAACTGGATTCTAATAATCCAAAAACATAGACACAGGTGTTAGTAGTCATACAACTGTCCTATAAATATAAGTAATACAATTCAATCATTAACTGCATTTGTTTTATTTTATGTATATCTATCCAGTTTTTTTTAAAAATAGGCACTTATCTGTTTTTTTGTTTTGAAGTGAAGGGAATCATTTAAAAAGGGGACAGTCTAGGGCTGGTGCTGCAAAGCCACCACCCACAATGCTGGCATCACTTATAGGCATTGGTTTGAGTCTGGGCTGTGTCACTAATGATCCAGCTCCCTGCTAATGGCCTGGGAAAAACAGCAAAAGATGGCCCAAGTGCTGGGCTCCTGCCACCCATGTGGGAGACCTGGATGAAGCTCCTGGTTTGGGCCTGGTCCAGCCCTGGCCATTGCGGCTATTTGGGGAGTGAAGCAGTAGATGGAAGATCTGTCTCTCCTTCTCTCTCTGTAACTCTGACTTTCAAATAAATAAATAAACATTTAAAAAATATAAAGGAGACAGTCCATCATCAAATAAAATGAATTATGTAATATTGACTTATTTTTCTTTTTCTTGCTGACTGTGAATATACATGTTACAAACAGTACTAAAGGTGACCAAACGTGATTCAAACAAGATTCATATATTAAACCAATAAGGCAAGTTAGACTCAAATAACCAAGGAAATGCGTTTAACTATAAATAAGAGGTAAGTGGTTTGACCTTTCATCATGTTTTGTTTCTTCTTGCAGACTAAATTCAAAATTATTTTCTCCTAAGTCTTTAGTAACAAAACAATTAAAAAGGAAGAAAAAAATGGAACCATATCCTTAAGAGCGATGTTACAAATGACAGTCAGTTGTCTTAGAGGACAGGGCAGGTAAGATTTCCAGGCAGGGGATGAAGCATGAAATTGTACAGAGTCAGGATTATTATAAAGGAATAAACATGGCTCAAGAGAATATATGTCAGAGTGCAGTGAAAAGAGAACTAGGAGGGAATGAAAGAAGGACGCAAGCAGGTAGAATGTGCCTAAGAACTTTCTGAGTTGAGAACTGTGCACCTGAATTTCACAGGGAAGGAAAAAGAACTAGTCAAACTTAACTTGAGAATGGGGATTGCTACAGCCATAGCAGTGAAATGGGAAGAGGATTTCTGGCAACAGCATTTTGAATACACTAGCAGGAAGAATACATAAGAGCAGAAATAATCAAAATACGACAGAGAGATTTTGCTCTTGAAATGGATAGGCAGAAAGAAGCTGGCGATACTGTAAAAGAAAAATATGAAAGGATTTAGCAAAAGCCCAGGCATAAGGAACAAACAGAATTGAATATAACATATACTTATCGGAGAGTAGCGACCTATAAGATAGCAATATGATTTTTTCACTCTAATAAGACAACAGAAATAACTATAATATAATGGTATACCAATTACCATTGCCACTACTACCTTTACTAGCAAAGACAGTGGTATAGCAATAGCTGGATACTTAATATGTGTCAAGCAATTTATGGTACTTTTTATATATGAATACAATCTTATTACTATCACTCTCATTTTTCAAATAAAGAAATAAAACCTGGGAAGTTTAAATTACTAGCTCAAGGTCACAGAAGTAAATACTAGATTTCCAATTAGAAATTTATAGTACCTAACTCAAAAGTTTATGCTCTATAGTCTACCTTCATCAGTGGCAGTAGTGACTAAAAGTGTATGATATGATTTAAAGTCTCTCTTAACTATATAATGCACATGTAAAATCGTATACATACAAGTATAGTTATGTATTTTGTTAAATGCCTATAGTTATATATACCATATACATAGACACAGACACACATACACACACACACACACACATACAAACTGTGAAGCATGTGTTAGAAACTTAATGTTCAAGGTAATTGTGTTGGGAGGAGGAGCCTAATGGGAGGTGTTTAGGTCATGAGGGCTTTACCCTCATGAATGGATCAATGCCAGTTATAAAAGAGTCAAGGCTATGAGTTCAATCTCTTATCCTGTCTCACCATGTGACACATTTTGTCATGTTATGATGTGAAAAGAAGTCCCTCATCAGATGTGGCTCCTTGATCTTGAACTTCTCAGCCTCCTGAACCTAAGAAATAAACTCTGTTCTTTATATATTATTCTACAATCTTAGTGTTCTATTATACTAACATAACATAAAAAGGACTGTCTCACACACACACACACGCACACGCACATATATAAACAGATATTTAGACTTAAAAATCAAAGATGGGTGGGTGTTTGGCCCAGCAGTTCAGATGCTCATGCTTTGTATCAAAGAGCCTGGGTTTGATATTATACCTACAATTCCTGACTCCAATTCCTGCTCATTCAGATCCTAGAAGGTGATGGCTCAAGTAATTGTGCTTATACCACTCAACTGGGAGATCTGGATTGAGTTCCTATCTCTCAGCTTTGGCCATGGCCAAGCCACAGTTGTTTCAGGCATTTAGAGAATGAACCAGTAGATGGGAGTTTTCTATCTCTGTCTGTCTCTACGTTTTTCTACCTCTCAAATAATAAAATAAACATTAAAGGTAAAATAATACTTCTCCACATATGGAGGCTCACTTTCAGAATAATTCCTTTGATTTCTCTTAACACTTTCAACTTCTTGTAAGAGCAGACAATATTAGCTGATGGCCAGAGCTAATTACCTAGAATTAAAATCTTGGAGACCCATTTTATCTGCTCTCCTGTTTCTCACTGGTAACCAGTCTTGCCTATTCTATCCCTTCAATGTTGCCATACTGCCTATCACATGAATACCAGACCCATTAGCCTAACACTGAAGTCTCTCTGATGCCTACTTCCCTGCTCCAGTCTTGCAGTCGACTATTCCTCTCACCTGTCTTAAATATTCAGCCACTGTGCCTTGCTTGCGCTTTCTCCCTAGAAAGAAAACTTCTCATATTTTACCCTTTAGCCACTGTCACTCCCCCTCTTCGTGGAGGAACGACACAGGACCCTGCGCTGTTCTTTTGTCTGCTCGGCCCTCCCCAGGTTTGCTGCTGGTTCTTCCCGGGTTGGCTGGGAAGGGCGTGGAAGGGCGGTTCCCCCTGCCACTTTCCCCACTTCCGCGGGGGAGCGGCACACCACCGGCCGGCTCTCTCGGGGGCTGCACAGGTGTTCCTTCAGATAGATGTTCCTGGTGCATGTTGTCTCTCTCCTCCTTTATAGTCCTCTTCCACCAATCCCAACTCTGCTACCCACACGCCGAGTATGCTGCTCTCCTCCAATCAGGAGCAGGATCAGCTCCTGCAGGTCATCACTCAAGTTGGCAAGAGGCAGCTGCGTAGAAGCTGTTTCCTCCTCTCCCAGAGCCATATTGTGGGAGAGCAGATGCATAGAATAAGTCTTAATTCCAGTAACTTAGTCTAGTCCGAGTTGCTCCCCACAAGCCACGTCCACAAAGCCTTCTCTTGCCTACTCATTCAAAAGTACTACTCCCTCATCTAAACTACAGGATATTATCTTTTCATGTAGCAACATCTCACCTTTATCTCTGTTAAAGTTTCTATTTATCTCTTTTCTCACCTTCCAGATTTTAAACACACTCCAGCAAGAACTTCTCATAAAATAATTTTTGTATCAACAGAAGCCCCACAGTATGGTCCTTTTGCAAACAATATACCCTTCAGTGTTTATCAAATGAAAGAATGAACATATCTGATCAGAGGTATGAAAGTTTCAATACCTAGCAGGATTAAAAATGAAGATAAAAACAGATATTGAAATGCACTAAACTGTCAAATATAAGCTAGTGGAAACTGTTTTCTTTTCTTATATTTTTAAATAAACAGCATACCTCTATAATTAATGTCTATAGGCTCTTTAATCTTCCTATTTAAAATAAAACACAGGAAAGGAACCGTGTTAAGGCAATTACAAATCAATTACCTTTGCTTGCACTTTCCACATGTTCCAGTTCTTCTGGAAATTTCAGGATATCCCGGTATTTTTCTTCACATATTTCAGCAATAAAATGTAAAAGAGTTGTTTTTTGATCTGCTGACTTAGTGTCTCTGATCTGCAAGGAAAACAACAATAGTAAACTGTTTAGTATTTTAAATATAGACTTTTATCCTTAAAAGAGTGAAACAAATGCAGAATTCAATTCATTATAACTCATTTAAATAAACAAAAGTTTGGAGTACATCCTTACTAGCAATGCTCTCAATTTTAAAAGCGAGAAAGATAATCAAGAAAACTGCCAAATTAAAATTTAATCTGTATTTTCAAAATGTTTGAAATCACTACAGGAAAATGAACTATTCTTTTCATGAGAAAGAGCATTAATTTAAATATTGATAGCAATAGTACAGGTTAACGTGTGCTTATGTGATTAGCAGTCTATTCTTTATTACAAAAATATATTCTTACAAGCTGGATTCATTTGTGAGTTTATATTTATTTCTAGCCATCATGGATATAAACTAAGATAAAAAATACATTTTACTCTCCTTTATTTACATAGGCCATGAAGAAAGAATTCTCAGTGTTGTTCTTACCCAGAATTATAAAGGGAATCTAATCACACAATGATGATAATATGAGAAATTTTACTTGTCTGACCATATATTATATTTCATTTTTGGAGACATAAGAAAAGAGATGTCACAATTATAAGGATAAAAATCTTTACAGGATGAAAAATATGATGAGAATCTAGTGTTTCCTTTAATATAACTCTCATAGTAGACTAAGCAGCAAATGAAATCAGGGATTTACTTAGAAACAAAGCCAAATACAGCATAAAGTATCAAGTTTTCTCATTCTATTGGATGTTTTAATTCTATAATCCTTAGATGATGGGCTTGTCCACTGATGTTCATACTGATTCAGAGTTTTTAGCTTTCAGGATTACTCTGTTTAGAATAAATGAGTATTCTTCACAAACAGGTTTATGAAAGGCTGCAGAGGATATTTAGGTAATTACAGAGTAAATTAATCCTTATTGTTCCAGTGGCTAAGAGAAAGAAACACATAAACTTTAATAAATCAGATCCATACTGAATTTTTTCTGTACTGCAGCTTTTACCAATTGTTTACATCGTGATGATGTGAACAACTTAAAAAATATTAGTCTCAAGGCTCCAAATAAACAAACAGCCACAGCAGTAAGGTGTTAGTAGTTCAAGTGGTCACAGCTGTTTCTTTCAGAATTTCCGGGATTACCTTGTACCTTATAGGTACAACACTTAAAATTTTGCATGACCATGCTGATTCACTAAATGCTTCTAAATACCACAAGGCAGAATGCTACAATTCAAGGACAAACTCTAGGAATAAAGTGAAACACAAATCTCAAGGGCAAGGTTTTTTTTTTTTTTTTTTTTTTTTTTTTTTTTTTTTTTTTTAGTAAGGCTAGCAGCTGCAGAGGAATCAATGGGAAGCTCTCATTCTTAAAGAGAAGTCTTTACCCAGGATTACTGTGTTATAGGTTCACAAGTGCATTGCTTTCAAAGCACATTGAGCATTCCAAATTATAAGGAAATTAAGATTCTCTTTTTTTTCTTGCAAAGTAATCAACCTCCAAAATCCTCAAAAACATTAGTGTTTAAGGAATTACAGGTACATGTTTTTAAAGGAAAGGAATCTGATGTGTAGATTATGAACTCTATGGAGAAAAAAAAAATCCCACACAACACCCAAAACAACAAAAACCTACCTAGTTTTTCAGGTCACCAAATTGTACACAAATATAGATTTTTTAACATTTTTTATTTTTGACAGGCAGAGTGGACAGTGAGAGAGAGAGAGAGAAAGGTCTTCCTTTTGCCATTGGTTCACCCTCCAATGGCCGCCGCGGCCAGCGCTGCGGCCGGTGCACCGCGCTGATCCGAAGCCAGGAGCCAGGTGCCTCTCCCGGTCTCCCTTGCGGGTGCAGGGCCCAAGCACCTGGGCCATCCTCCACTGCACTCCCGGGCCACAGCAGAGAGCTGGCCTGGAAGAGGGGAAACCGGGACAGAATCTGGTGCCCCAACTGGGATTAGAACCCGGTGTGCCAGCGCAGCAGGCGGAGGATTAGCCTATTGAGCCATGGCGCTGGCCACAAATATAGATTTTTAAAAGTGCATGACTAACATTAGAATGGAAATACAGAAATAGAAAAGTGGCATGGTGTCCAAACGTCAATTTTGTGTCTTTCTTTTCTTTCTCATTGATATTATATTGTTTTGCATTAAAAAAAACTTAGGCTTTTGGGAAATTACAAGAGCCTAATTATCAGAAATTGTTTTTCTTAATAATTCTGACCACTTCAAATTTATTTATTAAAATCAGGTCCATCAACAATTCCACTTATGTTATCAAATTTAGTAGAATCAATGGTTATCATAACCATTCAGTAGAATAAACACTGTAGCATCATTAATAAAATCAGAAATGCCTGTAGAACTAGCATGCATGTGCTATTTTAGAATCATAATATTTTCTTTAAAGCAGGGACAAACATGGCCAAGTGCCTGTCTTGTCAAGCTGAGAAAAAACTTAGTTGGCCTGGGAGACAAACTGCTTAATCTGTATTGCAACACTTATTTTTTAGAAAATCTCAAAACACACAGTCCATTTTAATATTTCAAACTGGAAAAGAAACAATAGGTGGGCTTTTTAGCCTTTTTCTATAGGTATGATCCTTAGACCAGTGCTTTCAAAATATACAATATTAAAATATACTGTAGAATAATTTTGACTTATTGAAGTCCGCTTACTTTGCATTATCATGTCATTAGTCTTCCTTAACAAATCTACACCACTCACACATCAGCCATTCTCTATCTCTCAGGCCTTATTGCCTTGTTCAGTGTCAGGACAGAAGGCAACTAAGAACATTCACTTTCAGCAGTTCTACTAGTTAAAAACTTTTACCCAAGAATTTTCCCTTCCAAATGTACCACCTGAATATATCAATCTTTTGTGGGGGCAAATATAAGGAGGTCAAATAGAATCTGAGTAGGTATACAAAATTCTTTACAAAATGAGTTGGCTGATTAAGAAATAAAATTCCTTTCCACTGGATATCTGGTAAACTTTGAAATCATATTAAAATTTTACATGAACATCAAATATCCTAATAATACTTGCCCAGGTTGCTTAATTCTCAGAGGTGTCTATATTGTAAGCATTTCAACATTTTCTCTACTCAGGAGCAAAGCACCTTTTTGTATGTCTGCCCTGTGCTTTCCCTCTCGTCCTCTCCCCAGCCCCAGGTAGGCAGGGACATGGGACATGAGAGAGACACAAGACTCCTTTTTATAAGATGCGGAGGGTGAACAAAGTGGCCATTCCACAAACCTCTGTCTCGTGTATATCTTCAGATGATAAAAACACAAGCAGTAGTTCCAGAAACTAGAACTACTTGAAACTGCTAAAAAAGTTTTCTATCATTTTAATAAGCTGACTTATCAACAAATGATAAGCATGAATAGAAGTGTGAATCACTGTATTAACTGATAAAGTGCCATCAGTTAACCACACAGCAGTTTTAATTATAATCATCTGACCAATAAATGTTATACATAAAGATTAACAACAATTTAAATTAATTCTATTTACCCAATGTTTAACAACTTACTGAAATGGCATTATGAATACAAAGTACCTTTGCAGAACACTGACTTCTATAGCCAATTCTGACCACTTCTCTTTCTCTAACAAATATAGATGCTATATTACAAAAGATATTATCTGTATTTTACATGTTCAAATACACTTGTAAAACTTCACTTAGGAAGAGAACAAAAATGTCTGAATAACTAATTGATGCCTAAGAGACTTCTTTATTTCAAATACTCTCAATTGAGCCTGAAACTCTTCAGTCTTGCTATGTCTTTGAAATTTCACTGAGTACACAGAAACCAGCAGACAACCAGAGAGCTCGAGACAGCGTTTTAATGATCTATGCCAGTTACACTCAATCTCTGTGAAGGACCCCTTCTGTAGGTAATTTTCTCTTCTGCTCAGATTTAGGCCTATTTCTTCTTACTTTGTCCTCAGTAGGAACTGAAAATAACTGGTCACTATCCGCTATGTAACAACCTCTCAGAGAGTGGAAGTTTCTTTCTCTTGGGTCCTGTTCTCTAAACTAAACAACTGTAGTTAATTTAACTTCTCCACATAGATGTGGTTTGTCAAAAGTCTATTTGTTTTTCATGGTAATTAGAATCCATTCCACATTTCCATGGCAAAGGTGCCTGACATCTAGTGGAAAAGCAGACAAATTCCTTGGTTTCGCACAGAAGGCACTGAAAGAGCTGGCCCACGTCTACCTTTCTAACTTGCCTCCTGCTGCTCTTGGTCAGATTACTATTGCTTGAATACACTGTGCCATTTCATAACACTGTGCTTTTTGCACAAGTGCTTCTCTCTTAGAACCACTACTGCATTGTATCATCTTTTTTTTCTATTTGCCAGGTAAACACCTATTCATATTTCAAGACTACACAACTAATATCTCATTTCTGAAGCCTTGTCTATCTTAGGAGCAATTAATGATATTTTTTTTGGCCATTGTAAATATTTCAACACAGTAGTTTCTTGCACTCAGTGTGAGTTCTTTCCAGGATAGCAACTCTGTTTTAGTAATTTTATTTTTTTTAACCACAGTACCAAAGACAATGACAGAATATTGAATATAATCAATGACTATTTCTGAATGGAGATTTTTTCCTCCATACATAATCTCACTTGTGGAGATATAAAGCACTATTTTTAAATGTAATCTACTCTTGCTTGTGTGAGTGTGTGTGTGCATGCCTATGTGTGTGTGTTTATCTTGGGGTAGAAGACACACATGCACACACACACACACACACACACACTCATATGTTAACTCCAAAGGCCAGACCTTTCCAGGACTCCATATTTTCTGAGACTTAGGCAGGTGTGCATACTTGAATGTAAAGTTTTAATTTGTCTCTCAGAAACAGAAACACACTTTTAGGGGAGCATAGGTTAGGAGCAAAGCAACTATAAATGCACAAGTGCATTCAGTGAGCCACTGCGAGCTGGGGACTGTGCCAAGCACTA